AACGAGGTGATAAGAGCATCCCCGGTAAGTAGGTCCCGGTGTCGAAGGCTCCATCTATTGGTGGGGAGCTACACCTGCTGGAAATCGGGTCCAGCATCCCTGTACAATGATGTGAATGTAACTGCTAGAAATCGGGTCCAGCGTCCCTGTACAATGATGTGAATGTAACTGCTGGATATCGGGTCCAGCGTCCCTGTACAGGAGATCGGGTCCAGCATCCCTATGCAGAAATGTAGATATCTCCAACTACCTATGTATGCACGTTTAAGCAATATATTCCAGATGATGGAAGACCCTATCCATCTGATCTACAATGTCTCCAACACAAACTGAGGCATCAATGCATGCCACCACGGGGAGTGTCTAATCGCACAGACCAAGGTCTTACCTGCAACAGCCCACTGGACCCCACCTCCGGGCAGCCCAGCTATTGGTGATACTATCAGGGGTATTCTCATTAGTTTTTCTTCCTCATTCTTGATTCTTCAGATGTTCTTGTCAGTGGTGCTATTGGCAATGTTATCAGTAGCGCGATTATGGTGCTATTTCCCCACCTAATACCCACCTACAGTCTAACGTCGCTAATCCACTGACTCCCTTCCGAACTCAGCTCATGCCTGAAAGCAGCACGCGGAAGTTGAAGAGCAGGAGCAGCTACTCTCCACTTGCTCTGTACCACCAATGCCTCCAACCCCCAGATGACTTGTCCTTGATGATCTTAGGCCCCATCTAATCCCGCCTGCAGTCCGACGTTGCTAATTCACCCAGCCCCTCCTGAACCCGGCTCAACAGGAGCGGCTAAGGCCCACCTATGTTGTACAGCCAGTCCTCCCCCCCCGTACATAGCTGGTAACTCAAGGATGCTGTTCCTCCATCTAATCCCACCCACAAGCCAACTTTACTGATCCAATGAGTCCCTCCCAAACCCGGCCAGGAGGGACTAAGCCCCACTTAATCTCTATGACCAAATCCCCTCTGGGCCTAGATGCTTGGTAGCTAGCAACTTCAGGTAGCTGGTATCACATGCAATCCCTCCTCTCCCCAACCCGACTGCTCTAGACTGGACTGGGGGCGTAAGTGTGAGGGGTGTCATGCTGTAGGTGTGGGTCTGACTAGAATTGAACTCACAATCTCCTGATTGCGACACCTGAGCTCTACCCATTGAACTTCCACTACCACCACTGCCTCCAAGATGACCAGTTCCACAATGTGTATGTCTTTCTTGTTGCCGGCTTTTACATATCTGGGGCTATTTGCTACTGCTAATGATAGAGTCCTGCACAAGTGTCGTGTGCCGTCTTCTAGTCCTTTGTTGGCATCTCTCTCCTTCTTCCCTGCTCTCTTTCATATGGTTTGGTTGTTGCCTTATCCTCCTGGTCTTGTGTGCAGAAATCTTCACAAAGATTAAACCACCTTTCCCTGCCGAAGAGTTCGGCAACCCCTCCAGACATGGGGGGAAAAAACTTTGGTCTTCGATCGTCAATCCAACGGAGCAACTGAAAATGGGTGGCAGGGTGGTCATAGGGGGGGCAGGGGTGGTGAAAGCCGCTAACCTCAGCGCTCTTGTCGTCATGGAGTGCATTTTGTGTTAGTTTAATCTTTGAAGTTCAATGGAATATACTAAAAATACTACACTAAGAAATAGGAATGAAAGTGGATTCTTAAATCTATCGATGGGTTGATCAGTTGCCCTTTTGTTGGCAAATCTAAACCAGTTGGAATGATATGTAGGTAGGTTTGCAAAATTTGTGTATAAGGGCCATGCGATGGGTTGATCTGATTAATTATGATGATCTACTGATGTACTGCGTCTCCGCAATCCAATGCAGGCAAGAGAGCTATTTTTCCTATCTCTTCGGTGTGAAGGAGCCTGGGTTCTACGGAGCATTGGTATGTCTGTATATCCTGTTTCCTATAAGAGAATCTTAGAGAGCATGGCAATTTTTTTTTCTTCTGTTTTGGCCTCCCCCCCCCCCCCCCCCCTCTTCCCCCTCTCGTTTTTTCCTTCACTTTTCTAAAGAAAGGACATAGAAAAAGGAAGTGGTTCCGTCCTGTCCAAATTTGGCCATACCCATCTGAGTCCACAGGACTCGAACTCATGATGCGTGTATCGACAGTTACATTTTGGCGAGGGACGCCGTGAGAGTGAGAAAACGTGGGAAGGGAACGTTATTTGGATTGCAGTATGGGAATGAAGCCTGTCTTGATTTGAGCTTCGAAGAGCTGCGTACCCTGGTAAACTATGAGTTAGTCAATGTGTACATATCTGCTCCAGCAGAGTAATTAGACAACAGGTGGGAATCCCAATTGGGAAGAGTATGAGCCCACCGTTAGCTTCTGTCCTGTGTGCATGTATATTGAGTACTTGTTTTTGAGCAGTTATGGAGCGGATCGTGCACTGGTCAAGGGCATGCTTCCGATTGATGATCTGTCTATCCTGCTGTGGTGTCCAGTCAATAACGGCCAGGTCCGAAGAGAAAGAGCCTTGCAACGTCTTATGCTCACTTACGACAGGAATGTCACACTGGAATGCACAGATGATGGAGGCAGAAAGTGGGGCTTTTTGGGGAAGGAAGAAGGAGGGAGGCAATTAGTTGTCATGCCAGTTCTTCCCAAAGAACTTTGATGAGGGTTCGTCAGAGCAAGCATTCACTTTTCAAACTTTGCAGGACTTCGAATTGTATTCCACTGTGCAGCAGAAGAAAGCAGTCATTACGAGCAGCATGCATAGGATCCCGCAGATGTCTTCGTCTACCGAGCTGGTGGGGCTGAGTTTGCTGACCTTGAAGAGGCAGCTACTGCTACAAGGGTACCCAGCCAGATATTTCAATAACGGCCTTAGGAACTTCGTCAAGAGGCGTGCACCTGGCTGGGAGGGATGGGGTCAAAAGTTAGGGGGGCGGTAACAAGTTTTGAATGACGAACCAGGTCCAGGACATGCCAGGAAGTCCTGGGAAGAACTGAGGTGTTGGGCTACAGACTAAGGAAGGTAATAGTAAGCATCTAGACCATGGTAACCGCGGACCTGGACACCGGACACTTCCGGACTGTCTTCTGGACTAGTGTCTGGACCGGTCCGGACTGTCCGGTGATCGGGACACCACCTTACATCCGGGCAGTCCGGAACGGTGTCAGGGGGGTGCAAAATGTCCGGACCGGAAAAAAAGAAGAAGAAAAAAAGCCCGGGTGGGTGGCTGGGTGGAGGTGTTGGCAGGCACTCACCTGCTTTGCACTTCGTAGTCCAGGCAGCAGAGCACCTGTCTTGCAGCAAATCAACAAGCGCATTCAGCCAGCAGACATGCGGAGTTGCAAACAGTGCAAAGCAGGGACAAGACTAAAGAAACAGAGAAAGAAAAAGAAAAAACTTCAAAAAAGTATGATTAACTTTGAAGTCTGTGTCGTTCGGGACATCCATTAAAATTGGAACGATACAGAGAAGATTAGCATGGCCCCTGCGCAAGGATGACAAGCATAAATCGAGAAATGGTCCGAATTAAAAAAAAAAAATTGAACTTTGAAGTTTGAAGTAAGTAACTTGCGTTCACAACTTCATATAACTTAGAAGTTCAAACTTTTGCAGTTCAATTCAGAACGGCAGATTCTTCAGGCTGGCAGCACTGTCAGTGCTCTCTCTCTCTCTCTCTCTCTCTCTCTCTCTCTCGGGCAGCGGCGGCGGGCGGCACGTCAAAACGACCGCTTTGAAATTGCTCGGGCCTGTGTGAAACCCGCCACCCCAGAAAACCGCAGTGTCTTGTGTTCGGACCTCTAGGCCCTGTCTGGTGGGGTGAAACGACACTGAAAAATCATCCCGTTATTTTTTAAGGGGCGGCCAGGACCCGAAAAACGTTCTAGGCCGCCCCCTTTCTTTTTCGCTTTTTGCTGTGGGGGCCTCCATCCAGACATCATGGACCGGACACCGGACCCGGACCCGGACATGTTGTTCGGGACTGTCTGAAACCCGGTCTGGACATCCGGTCGGTTACCATGAACTAGACCTGTTATCAATAGATATATGCTTAGAACCAGAGCTGTAAGCTCAGTCCCACCGGGGGGTCCACCCCCAACCAGAAGCGGGCCGGTGGGACTGGCCGGTCCACCGGTGTCAGGCGGCCACAAGTAGTGCGCAGCCTGAAAACGGCAGTTTAGGGGTTTAGGCTCAGGGTTAAGTCCGCGTTTTGACAAGTGCTTTGGGATGACCGGGCTGCAGGAATTATGAGAACTCAGGGTACCCCTGATTCTGGACGCACTAGATTTTAAGAGTAACCCCCAAAGACA